CAATGTAAATCTTTGATGTAACTCATAGCCTCACAAATTCACAATGTGAATCTCTTAAAAATGTTTTGCAAGTTGATTATCCCTTTCGCTTGTTTTCACTATGCACACAATACGTGAAAAGATTCACAGTGTGTATGTGTACATCACTTGGTGAACCTCAACCTGTTTTGCTATGAAATGCATAAATTCACAATGTGAATTGTTGATGTAGTTCATAGCCTCACAGATTCACAATGTAAATCTCTTAAAAATGTTTTGCAAATTAATTACCACTTTCGCTTGTTTTCACTATGCACACAATACGTGAAAAGATTCACCATGTGTATGTGTACATCACTTGGTGAACCTCAACCTGTTTTAGTATGAAATGTTAAGATTCACATTGTGAATCTTTGATGTATGTCACATTCTCAAAGATTCACAATGTGGATTTTCTAAAAAGTTTTTGCAATTTGATTATCACATGTTGAATTTATATATTTTTTTACATGTATTTCATAATATTACTTATATTTTTTAGATTGATATTAAAAATTTCACATTGTGTAGTTGAAGGTTCAAAAAAATATACCAAAAACACAGCAAGGAGAACCATTGAGGAAATTATTTATAAATTAAGAAAAAAAATGAAGATGAAAAGATTCGTGATGAAAACGTTGAAAAAGAAAACCCTTTAGAAGGTGAGAAGATCCAAAAAAGCAAACAAAAAAATTGATGAATCAAGATGAATCTGTGTTGAAGAAACTTGAAAAGAAAACAACACAAGGTTAGTATTTATAAAATTATACTCTACTTTAATATATAAAATTAGTTATCTTTAATTTTATTTCTCAAAAAATGAATAGAAATCAGTCAAAGTCCAAGACTTCAAAAAAATAAAACGAAAAAGTCAATGAAGCAAGACAAATCTGTTTTGAAGACACCTGAAAAGAAAACATGTTACAACCCGAAATTTTATCTCGTAAAGTCAAAGACATCAACTTAAGGTCAAACGTATAGGTTTCTAAGCCTAGTATAAGTTAGGGTTGTGTGTTAGGGAGTGAACCACTAAGGAAAATAAGTTCGAAGTATAAGATTCGGGCCTTAAACTAATGGGTTTTAGGTAAAACAAATAAACTAGAAAACGATTCCTAAGTTCACATGCAACCTACTTTGGATCTATGTTTTAACTATTGAACATATAACTTTGAATTGCAAACAAGAACCCTAGAGGAGAGAGGGTATTTTCGAAAATAACTAACTAGGGTTTAAGAGTTACATAGCTTTCAATTGTTATACTAAACAATTGGTAATCCTCTTGAACTTGATCTTCTTGGAAGCCTAGCACCACAAATGTAATGCCTCTAATGGAATCACACACAAGAACTAGCAAGAAGGAAACTTGAAGGAGAGAGGGTAGGGTATGCAAAAACCAGCCTAGGGTTTCTTCCAAGGTAGGAGTCGCCGATTTTAGGAGCTGGGAGGCTCCTTATATAGCTGAGGGATCTAGGGTTTTGGGAAAACCCTAATACTCCTTTGCTTGGGGCCTAAGCTAATCCAAAGGCCTAATCCAAAGCCCCTTGGACGAAATCCTTACGGTTTCCCCTATAGATTTCGTCCACCTCCCTTTAAGGAGGTTCTAGAGCCTTCCACTCAACTATCTGACAATTGCAAACTAGTCCCTGCACTTTATAATTAATACTTTTAACCCCAAAATTAATTCTGATTAATTTCTGGTTAATTATTAATTAAGCATTATAATTTCTAATCAATATATTAATCCTTTATGTTGGGTCAAAATATGGTTTATACTTTGCTTTTCTGAATAATTATATTTTTCTTTAATATTTTTAGAGTTTACGGTCATGTTTACGGTTGAGTTTACGGCCGTAAACACCTTACGGCCGTAAACCCATTTACGGCCCATGTTCTCCGTCCCAAGTTCCCCTTGTATATATATAGGTGTTAGGGTGAGGAGTAGGGAATTGATGAACACGAAGAGAGTTTACGGTCTAGAGAGAAATGAGCGTTTGTGTGTGTGAATCTTGTGTAAGGAATTTAATTCATATTATCAATACATTCAAGATTCATATTATTCTTCTTCTCCTTCTCTTCTATTTGATCTGACATCATCCGTTTGATTGGGATTCCGCACCATCAAACGGATCTAATTGATACACAGACAAATTAGGGACTTACACTTGGTATCAGAGCAAGGTTGTATATGTCAATTTTGTCATATTTGGAGCATTATTTGATCTTATTTTCGAAATATTCTTGAGTTTTTGGATAGATCTCGCAAAAATAAGGGGGGTTTGTTCTTTTTGTTTTTCATAAAAAAAGGGTTTTTGATCGAGTTTTGGAGCTTCAAAGTCGAAAAATTGGTGTTTTTGGTCGGAGTTTGCGGCCGACGGCTAGGGTTTCGGAGTTAACGGCCGAAAACTGTTCACGGTTGCTGGAGGATTGCGGCCGGTGTTTAGGGTCCGAGGAGTTCACGGCCTCGCAAGAAGCAGACTCGCTCAGCAACCTCGTCCTCACATCGCCTCGCTTTGCGTATATAAAAAATTAGGAAGCGCATTTAGAGCTACAAGGGTTCGAACTCGAGACCTCCGGTTCAGCAAGCTCGCGCCTTACCAAGTCGGCTAGCAAGTCTTTTGTGTCATTCCTTCGAATCTTTAAACTTAACATCCCATTCCCGCTTTCAAATTTCGCAATTTGTCATTTCTATCCCAAAAATTCAAAATTTTTATTTTTAAAATCCTTTTTCAAACCAAAAATTTTAATTTTTAATTTTTGACTTTTTACTTAAAATGTTGACTTTGACTTTTAAAATTTGACCTTTAACTTTAAACTTTGACATTCTCATTTAACTTTTA